TTCTCTGATGAAGTTATGAAGATTGTGTCACGTTCAATGAGACTTGCTCAATTTGAAAGATTTTAGAAATATATATTTTTGAAATGGATAGTGCGCGGAGAATTTGTCTCACGACTTCTGTTCGGACTGAAGGTCTGAAACTCGTATTGAAACAGCTTCTTATAAGCGAAGAAAAACGTAAACAGAATGGTTTTGAATAGAACCATTTCCTACCAGCTTTAAATCTTTACAATGAGTGTGAGGGTTCGATATAGAACCATTTTAACCCACCGATAAGTATTAGAATGAAAGGTGGTTCAATGTAAAAACTTTTTTTCATGGCTTCCATTATGTTAATTTAGTAATGTAGCCCTATAGGTACAAATGGTGCGGTATAGAACTCTTTTCACATCTATGAAACCCTTCCATATCGATCAGCGATCGTTATGGAGATCGAGGGTGTCAGACAAAACCATTTCAAATTTATTGAACCATTTCGTATGAGTCGTGGTTCTGGATGAAAAAATATCGTGCAATATAGAGCCCTTTCAAGTGTCTGGAAGCATTTTTTATCTGTGAATGTTCCGTATTTGGAAAAGTAGTGCAAAGTAAAACCCTTTTGGGTGCGCCAAACCATTTAGTTACAGAGTAGAGCTTTCGAATTGTTAAGAAAAATAAATCGAATTATCAAAACATAATTTTATTTGTTTTCAATAACGTTTTTTCTTCAAGGCTTCTTTGCCCTTTGCCCTTTTCTCTCTCTCTCTCTCCCCTTATTTTGTTTTTTTTTCTTCATCTTCTTAAAGTACCTGTGTGTAGATTGTCATTAACTTGAAAAGCAAACATCTGAATAAACGATGATGGCAACAGCATATGCATATCGTGGAACAAGAAAAGCATGAAAAAACAAAATGTATGGCTGCTTTCCCTTTCTCTAATGTTTTATTTTTAAAAAAAGCAATATAGAAAATATATTTTGACATTTCATGTATAAACTATATTCAATGATACGCAAAAATAATATTTTAGTTAGACAAATGAAATTGTAATGACAATCGAAAGTATTAAAATACTCAATCGACGTCGGCTTTTAAGGTTAGAAGAAAACAAATCTCTTGTCATCTATATAGATTAGAGTATCTAACTCATGTATCTCAATTTAATTTCTAATGTAATATTGGAGAAATTGTTCTTTTTACTCTACAAAACTTACTAATTAATTTAATGAAAATGTGAATAGAAAACTCTAATCTCCGATATGAATGAAAGATTAGAACAACTAAAAACGAGAAATTTCAAAAGAATATAATAAAATAAACCTACCAGACGCAATAATAAAGATATCGAGCACGTTTATTGCGAATAAACGAGAAGAAAATCAATAAATAACGCTCGTCGAGACGGACTCGCATTACCTTCGACTGAAAAATTCATATGTAATAATCAATTTGCTATTGTTTTTTCATTTCATATAAGAGAAAATGTTTTCCACTATGAAGTTTATTTCTTTGTTTTTCAATGAAATAAAGGCAAATTGATGATATAATAAACAATTATACATGAAAGAAAGCAAACAAATAATTTTTTGTATTAGTTCTAACTAAATCTCTAAAGATGTCAAAATATGAATAAAGTATATGCGAGTACGAATAAGAAGCGTGGAACAAAACATAATAGTTACGATAAAATTGAGAACAAAATTTGGATTTCGATTACAAAACAACAGACTAATAGAGAAAACGTTTAATTATACAAGAAATTTGCACAGTTACAAGTGATAGAAATGAATCCGATGCGCAAAATGGATGACAAGCAATGGCGATTTGTCTTTTATATCGAATTTGTTAAAACCATTCTGAAAAACGCATTTGTGTTTCCATGTAGAGTTTGTCTAGTCTTTGCATCTCGGCAACTTGAGATTTTCTGGGTTTGATCACGAAGACTTTGTAATCAAAGTGTCGTAAAATAATTAAATCGTCCAAACGCTTCCCTCTTGATAATGGTATATAGACTGCAGCGATGTCATCTGTATCTTTTGGTAACTTCAGATCGATGACTACTTTGCTTTAAATTTGTCCTTGACTTTTGTGGGTTATGATAGAATATGCAGGTACGAGGTAACGCGCGTCGTTTAATCGATAACGTTGACTTTGGAAAGAATATCCGAAATGTCTACCTGAAATGTTTGCTCCATTATTGGTATTGGAATGAGTTTTGGTTGAAGCTTTTCAAGATTGCACACAATTTGGGATTTGCTTATTTCGACCAATGTATATATTGACTTGTGCACATATTGGGTGTTCACTGGAAACGTTTTTGACAGACTATCTGTTGACACTGAGTCAAGATCATAGACTAGTCGTCTAAAGATTCCATTCATGCCGTTAATTAATTCCAGTTCAATAGCAATATTTTGTGTAATAATAACTGGTATTCTAGGAACTAACGGTAAAAATCCCGGTAAGTGTTCATTCTTACTATCTGATAATTTCAGTAATTTTTTAAGGAGTGTCGGCTCTTTCACAGGTTTGCCTTTACAAAAGTCCTAGGCAACACATTCCATTGGATTGCAACCTGCTTGTACTGCATTATGAATTGTCGATCTATGATTCAGTTGTGTTCATATTTCATTTCTAAACAGAAGCATGCAGACTGGAAAAAAATAAGATATTCTACCAAACCCATAAAAAAAGTTTCGTAGATGCTCAAAGCTTCCAAATGTGTTGACCTGTTGAAAAAAATGGTTTTCAAAAATCTGCGAAATCAAAAATGATCGGTCGGCGGACACACGCTCCGAACCATCGTCTCGAAACCTTTTTGATGGGTTTGGCAGAATACCTTTTTTTATCAGTGTAAACTGAAGACAACATGTTTCGTTGTCTTCGTTTTTTTTTCTTCTGATTTTATTCTGTATTCTCTTACTTTTCACTATCCTTTTCACTTCTTTGGTATTTACTTTCGATTATACATGCAAAATACACTTGCTGTATTTGTGTTCTTCAGTTCACAAAGTTAATACGCGTATGTTTATAAAGTAAAAATTTTTAAAAATTAGAGAAAATCTATGAGTATCAAAACTTCTTGCTTACATAATATTGTTTGGCCACTTATGAAATAGGATAGAAAAATAGAGCTCGAGCTGAGCTATCAGAATATATAGGAAAAAATTCTAGAAGGCTTCTTTAAAATATCACAGAGTTGGCGCCACTACTTTTGGTATGCCCTAAGTATGATACTAAAAAAAATATCCATAGTAATGAGACGAAACTTCTGGAATAACTAGTAGCAAGCGTTTTGGCAGACGTTCAGACGAAAATCGAGTTGTTTGTATGTTAATTGCATGATCTATATGCGCAATGCTTCTATTTTCTTTTCGATTTTTTCAATTTCCGTCGCACTTGAAGGATGTTCAAGTTCTCGATACAGATTTTTCGCCATTTGAAGATATTGGAGGGATAATTGCCGATCGAATGGAGTATAATAATCTCCTACTGTCATATAACTTCGGGCAATCATATATCTTTTTTCTCGTCGAGTAGCATCATTATCAGTTGCTTTTAATGCAAATCGATTCAATATATCTTCGTGATTTAACAGTTGGAATCTCAGTGCTTCAGGATAATTTTTTCGACTGAAGTAATGAGAAGATATATTTGTATAGAGCATCCACGGATTTTGATTTGGATTTCGTAACTTGATCGCTAATGCTTCTTTGTTGTAAGCTAATGCTGCATCGTGATCACCAAGATGGAAACTGCATATCGTACCAAGNTTGTGTTTCCATGTAGAGTTTGTCTAGTCTTTGCATCTCGGCAACTTGAGATTTGCTGGGTTTGATCACTAAGACTTTGTAATCAAAGTGTCGTAAAATAATTAAATCGTCCAAACGCTTCCCTCTTGATAATGGTACATAGATTGCAGCGACGTCATCTGTATCTTTTGGTAACTTCAGATCGATGACTACTTTGCTTTAAGTTTGTTCTTGACTTTTGTGGGTTATGATAGAATATACAGGTACAAGAGGTAACGCGCGTCGTTTAATCGATAACGTTGACTTTCAGAAGAATATCCGAATTTCTACCTGAAAGGTTTGCTCCATTATTGGTATTGGAATGAGTTTTGGTTGAAGCTTTTCAAGATTGCACTCAATTTTGGATTTTCTTATTTCGACCAATGCATATATTGGCTTGTGCATATATTGGGTGTTTACTGGAAACGTTTTTGACAGACTATCTGTTGACACTGAGCCAAGATCATAGACTAGTTGTCTAAAGATTCCATTCATGCCGTTAATTAATCCGAGATCAATAGCAATATTTTGTGTAATGATAACCGGCATTCCAGGAACTAACGGTAAAAATCCCGGTAAGTGTTCATTCTTACTATCTGATAATTCCAATAATTTCTTAAGGAGTGTCGGCTCTTCAACAGGTTTGCCTTGACAAAAGTCCTGGGCAACACATACCATTCGATCACAACCTGCTTGTACTGCATTATGAATTGTCGATCTGTGATTCAGTTGTGTTCGTATTTCATTTCTAAATATAAGCATGCAAACTGAAGAAAAAAAAGGTATTTTACAAAACCCATCAAAAAGGTTTCGCATTTTGTGGCGAAACTTAAAAAGGTTCCGTGATGAGGGTTCGCAGTGTGTGCCCGCCGACCGATCCTTTTTTGGTTTCGCAGATTTTCGAAAACCATTTTTTTTCAACATGCCAATACATTTAAGGGCTTTGGATGCTTACGAAACCTTTTTGATGGGTTTGGTAGAATACCTTTTTTTATCAGTGTAAACTGAAGACAACATGTTTCGCTGTCTTCTTTTTTTTTCTTCTGATTTTATTCTGTATGCTCTTTCTTTTCACTATCCTTTTCACTTCTTTGGTATTTATTTTCGATTATACATGCAAAATACACTTGCTGTATTTGCGTTCTTCAGTTCACATAGTTAATACGCGTATGTTTATAAAGTAAAAATTTTTAAAAGTGAGAGAAAATCTAAGGGTAGCAAAACTTCTTGCTTACATAATATTGTTTGGCCACTTATGAAATAGGATAGAAAAATAGAGCTCGAGCCGAGCTATCAGAATATATAGGAAAAAAAAATTCTAGAAGGCTTCTTTAAAATATTACGGAGTCGGCGCCACTACTTTTGGTATGCCCTAAGTATTATACTAAAAACAATATCCATAGTAATAAGACGAAACTTCTGGAATAACTAGTAGCAAGCGTTTTGGCAGACGTTCAGACGAAAATCGAGTTGTTTGTATATTAATTGCATGATCTATGTGCACAATGCTTCTATTTTCTTTTCGATTTTTTCAATTTCCGTGGCACTTGAAGGATGTTCAAGTTCTTGATACAGATTTTTCGCCATTTGAAGATATTGGAGGGATAATTGCCGATCCAATGGAGTATAATAATCTCCTACTGTCATATAACTTCGGGCAATCATATATCTTTTTTCTCGTCGAGTAGCATCATTATCGGTTGCTTTTAATGCAAATCGATTCAATATATCTTCGTGATTTAACAGTTGGAATCTCAGTGCTTCAGGATAATTTTTTCGACTGAAGTAATGAGAAGATATATTTGTATAGAGCATCCACGGACTTTGATTTGGATTTCGTAACTTGATCGCTAATGCTTCTTTGTTGTAAGCTAATGCTGCATCGTGATCACCAAGATGGAAACTGCATATCGTACCAAGNTATATTCGATGCAGCTACACATCTGTAGAAAAGCTTCTTTCTCTCTTTCTTTTTTATACGACTATTCTTTACATGTAATTTGTTATCAGATGAATATACGACATAAGAGTTTTATTAGTTATATCGTCACTTGGCAATAAATTTGATGCAAATTCGAGTATCATAGAATCAGAGAGGCATTTGTTCGAAAGTAGATAACTTAATCGAAGAAAACAAAACCTTTGAGAGAATGTGGCGGTGGATGAGGGAGTAGTGTAGAAATCGTTAACTCGATTCGAGTATTAAACATCTTTTTCGAGTTTTCCCCTTAGCAACTAGCAAGTGATTGATCATAAATCCTGGAGCGACTCAATATTAACTATTATGTAACTGTTGATTAAATATTAACCAACCGATTACTTATTAACAATCAACGGGCTATCAAGTAATAGGCACTTCAATAATGAATGCTACTTAATCATTTATTCACAATAAAACTATGAATTACCAGCCAACTAACCATAACGAATCCCGTTGAAATAGACCCTGACTAGGGGTGGCACTTTAACTTTACTTTCAAAATTAAAGTTAAAGTATTTTACTTTATTATTTTAACTTTAATTAAAGTACAATAAAAATCGAAAATATTTTTTAGCTTTCCCTGTTTAATTTTATGAGGTTTTTTACAAAAATTTTCAATTTTCAACTTTAACTTTAATAAAGTTTAAAGTTTCTTTAACTTTAATTAAAGAAATTTTAAAGTTGTAACTATTATCGAAAACCACATAAAATTAAACAGGGCGGGCTAAAAATATTTTCGATTTTTATTGTACTTTAATTAAAGTTAAAATAATAAAGTAAAATACTTTAACTTTAAATCTAAAGTCAAAGTAAAAACTTTAAACTTTAAGCACTTTATAAAGTAAAGTTAAAGTGCCACCCCTAACCCTGACTACGACGCTGTCAGCTGCGCCCTACCCAACACCCTCACACCCTCACCCAAAATACTGTGCGAAGTGTATCTGTTATAATAATAGCTAACATTAATCCAAGATAGATATAACCAAATACTAAGCCACTAGTTACACTATTACCATAAAAGATTTTCCTAACTATCATCTAAACAAAATAGGCTATATTATTGATCAATATCCACATTATTAGTATTTTTATTATAGTGAAGATCTGTCTGCATCGAGACAGTTTGAACTAGACTCGGAATTTAGAAATTATAAGAAATGAACTTGATATTAATGAAACCAACTGATACTATAAAAAATTTTCAATTAAAGAACAAGTATACGTGTACAAGTGTTTTTGCTTGAACTCTTTATCTTTCTGCTGAAGTTTTGAGAACAAAGGTACGAGTGTGATAGAAGAATATACAGCGACATCCTTTCTCACACGCTCAACGATGGCAATAATATGATGACAATTGTTTTCGAAAGTGTTTTGAACCCATAGAAAATACTTTTCGATAAATTTTTGAAGGTAAAACAAAAATAATGAAGCCGAAAACTGATGGGAGAAATGAAATGAAATAACCGAGAAGATGAAACCAAAGATATCGAGATGATTTCTTACAATCCATTGAGAATATTATTCCAATATGAAATAAAGAAAGAGTAGCTAAAATCATTGGACTAATTAAAAGATGTCGATATTGTTTCAATTTAATATGAAAATGTCGAAGAAAATGATCATCCGTATGAATCATTGCTCGTTGATAAGCAGTACTTACTATAATATATATCGATGAAAAGAAATTAATCAATAAAGGACCGAGAAAATGAAAACAAATTATTATTAAATTGTATATTTGTAACCATGGTCGATAATTTATAACACACCATGTTCGATCTTCTTTCTCATCGAAAAATATTGAAAAATGAATAAATTGAGGAATCATAAGAATAACAATGACGATAGGCAAAATATGAACAATTATTTTCGCTAGTCGTCTACTGATTTTTTTATTAAAACTAATTCCAGTAGACACTGCCCATGTTCGTTCGATAGCTACACAACTATTATACCAATTATGTAAATATAAAAGAATTTTCAATGGAATTTCAATTCCGAAACAACTAGTAATAGCTAAATGATATCGATGAGAATAAATCATATGTGAAAGAAATAAAAACCATATACGACATATTAATAAAATAACAATTAATAATGAAGTAATCGATGAATAAAATAGATAAATACCACAACCAACTTCTTGACATCTTTTACGATTGAATGTAAATATTGCTAAAATACTATTAAACATTCCAATAATAAACATACATATTGTTAATAGAAGACTTAATTGAACAGAGAATGGTTGATTAAAAATATTTTTATTTCGTCGAATTTCAAAACCTATGATTTCATCCAATGTAACGCCAAAACCTTTTGTATAGTATTGACATCGATCACCATAAAAACAACTTGAACAAACACAAATTCGTGCATTTGAACAGATTGGATGATCTTGAATACATTTAGCGTGATTTTCACAAGAATCTTTTGATGTACATTGTAGATTGAGATGTCGATGAAAAGTTAAACAATTTGCATGACGATCATTCGTACATAAACATAGATAAGTTTCATCGATGAAACATTGAAGATGATGATAGATTTCACATAGATGATGATAGTATTTAATGCGTTGAATTCGTTTCATTTCTAACATTGTTGAATTCATTAATATGTCAAGAGAAAAACATTCTCGTTTAAAATCTATTGACGTAGAAATTTCTTTTCGAGGTAATTGTTGAATAATGGTTAGATAGAACTTTTCATTTACTTCTACAATCATTAAATGAAACGGAATCGATATATGAAAAGTAACAAAACGTTGAAAAAGAGTCAACTTTTGTAAAACAATCGTAATCGTTGGTTCAGATTCATTCGATAATGTGAAGAAATAAGCTAAAGCAAATGATGGAATATCGATATCATTCAGAGAAACTTCAATTTTGCCTTTCATATATTGACATCGTGTTCCAAAGTATGACGAAGAACAAATACAGTTATATGTATTTTCTAGGCCATTGACATGATTAGGAACGCATTGACCATCATTTTCGCAAGCATTTGGTACACACAATGACGTTAATAAACATCGAGGTCCATGTTTAGTCAATGGACAAATACAGATAGGCCGATTATTAACGAAACCAATACAGAGAGAATCAGATGAACAATTCTGACAATTGATTTTCATATTACAATCAATACCTGACCAACTCTCATGACATCGACAAAATGTTGTATTTGTATTGAAATATTTCATACATTCTCCGTGATAACATTTTCGTGAACAATCCGATGAAGTAGAATCGAGATGTTCGATGATAAATAAATCGATGACCACTCGATTAACCGGTAGAAAAAGAAAAGGAATTGGATAATGCCAACTACCAATATAATTTAGATTATGCTTATTAAAGACATCAATACGTAAACTGTACTTCTTTAAAATATCTTTTGGACGCGTACTGTATAATAGATAACGATTTAATGTAATACTACAACTTTGTTTAGGTATGTAGACAAATTGTTCATGAGAATTAATTGTTTGTTCTTCATCAATTAACATAATAATAATGGAATAAATCAATTCATTCTTATATGCAATTACTTGCATTGTAAGACTGACTCGTTGATTTTGATATTGACATAAATTACCATAATAACTTGGCGAACAAATACATTGATCATTAATAGTATTCAGTTCGATTAATTCATAAAAATGTAGTCCACGATTGCAATACCATGGCCATGAAACGTTCTTTCCAAAGAATTCTTTCTTTTCTTCAACAAAACGTTGTTCTATTATCCATGGAGATAAATCAGATTCTAATGAAGGATAATTTGAAGAAGTGTAAATTGAAAAATATTTAGTTCTATGCATTTGTATTTCATTAATTCGACAAAGAACTTGAGCGACAGTCCAATTACTAATTGAACTTGCATCGCAGGATAATTTTCGATTGTTGCAAAAGATTTCATCGTCACCCTCAGGACAGTCAAGATGATTATCACATAAGTGAGTCCATAACAAACATTTACTTATATTTCGACAGCGAAACCATCTAGAACTGTTACCTCCCAAATATTTGCTTCGACAGAGTTGTAGCTCATCGGATGCACCAAGACAATCATCTTGTTTGTTATCCACTTGCTCGAGAGGTAAACAGATTACTGTAAAGTTCAATGGAGATATGCACTCCTGAGTTTTTAAATCACACAGAGTTTGTTGTGCACAGTTTTGTTCATCTTGTCCATCTTCGCAGTCTCGAAGACCATCACATTGAGTATACATATTTTTGCATGGCCATTGAGAAGAACATGTAAAGTCATATAAATCAGTCTGATTATTTGATTCTTCATCCAACCACATTTTTTGACATAAATCATGAAACGAATGTCTTTCTTCATATTGATCAATGACTGATGGACAATAACTAGCACTTAAGAACGGTGCTAGACATATGTCATCATCAGCACATCTAGTTCTATGTCTATCGTTCAGTGCGCAACTTTCATTATAGTTTTCATCATCCATTAAATAACAATCATATATGTTGTCCTTGATACGATGTTTAGAAATACGTTTTAATGAATTTTTGCACGAATACAAAGATGAATGTTCTTGATATATCATCTCATTGCTATGAATATTACCATGTGTTAAAATACAACCACGAAATAAAAAACCTATCGGAAAGTTCATATTAAACCACGGATCTTCGTCTGTGTTCGAATAGATATCATGCAGTTCAGTACCATTTATACAAGATACATTTTCATATAAATATATAGGTTTGATAGCATCACATAGTTGCTGATCATAGCAAATATATTGTGGCCAGAAAAAGTCACTAGAATTTTGAAGCCATTGATATCGAGAATACAAGAAACGAATGTGATTATGGTAGATTGGTATACCTGGAAATTGAAATAAAGGATCGCAGTCTTTCAGAAATTGAAAGATTACACCATTCACTAGTAATGATTTACATGAAATATTATTGATTTTTGCACGAAGTGACGTGAGACAAACCATAGCAATCCAACAGTTGTCGGATAAATTACCTTTAATGGCCATTGTTTCTCTTAATAAGGCATGACGTCCATTGTGACATTTGTGAAACTTCTCGACACATTGCCCATCTCCACACACAAATCGATTCGCATCGGATCGACATGAATGTTCTTCACAACGGAATGTTGGATCTTGAAAACAAGAATCAATAATATTGGCATCGAAAGATTCATCCGATCGATCAAGACAATCGGTCGTGTCGATATGATTTTTTCGAAAAGTATGAGGAATACATTGACCATTGTAACATCGAAATTCATCTTCATTACATTCATTTATCTCCATCTCGAAACATAGAGCTTCATCAACACCTCTATTAAGACAATCGACATGACCATCACATATTTCACGCCAATCGAGACATAATTTTCCTCCGCCACGATCACACGGCAGATGAATGTAGCATGACAGTTCTGTCGCTATGTTCGTAGATTCTTCATATGTTGTTCTACTATGAAACTGTATTTCTACGATTTGTTCAATTGACATAATCGTATTTTGCTCGAATACATATTGACATCGATTACCAAACCAGCCATTTGAACAGTTGTAAAACTGCTCATTCAATGACCAGTCCAATTTGTCTAGGTAAAACTGATATCGCTCAGCGAGATCAATTGATACCGACCATAAAAGTAATTGTTGACTAGTGATGTTAGTTCGACGTAAATCATCGAAAGTCAACGTTTGACTATGTGGATTAAGAAAATTTGTCTGTATTTTCAGATTTGTTTCATTTGTCAGACGAAAGCAATAAGGAATAAGTTCATCAGTTACATAGACTAAATCTTGATAAGCTGGTTTTTCAACTCGTACGTAATACTTTAAACAATTGAACTGTAAACTATCGTCAGTTGTTATTAGTTGAGTATCGTACAGATTTAACTGACCAATAATTATCGTCCATTGACAGAAAAATACCACTAAAATTTCTAAAGCTACTTCTTCTTTTGCAAAAGAGAATATCTTCATCTTCAAGATTCATTCATCGTGGTAAATCAGCGTGTTCTTAATAACAAAGAGAAAAACGACTATGTCAGGTATAGCTTAATGCCCTAAGCAAAAGATAAATATGATATAGGATTACATGTCAAATATCATTTCCTATCATCAGAATATATTGTAACATCGTGATTTTATTTCTGTAAAGTATTATATTCCAACAATTTTTTTGCACACACAAAAAATATTATCAAAAGAAACACTAGTTAACTTTCGATTTAACGGAAAAGACAAAACTGATGACATATGAAAATATTTAAATTTCTTGATTTAAAATAAATTATTTTGCCTTCTATAGCCGGTTACTTCTTGATACACACACATTCTTTATATTGAAAACGTTTGCTGCAATGACCACCTGCATATCCAACACTTCTACAGTAACCTTGACAGAAAAAATGATGATAATTATGCGGTCCATTACAACCATGATCTCGAAGATTTTCCATGACAATTTCGTTTTCTTCTAACTCTAGAAAACGACAATCATTAGCTTGAGTATCGATAGATATCTAATGATATTTATATATACGTACGTATATCAAAGGCGGCTGCCAGTTTGTTTCCAGCTACAATGCCAATCAGGACAATAAACAGAAAGTAAAAAAGAGCACCATTTTTGTAATTCATTTTGAATGTTTCTAAACTCAAACAATAACATTTGATAGAAAATTAGTTACCATTCTTACTTTTGTAAATACTATTTGATTTATAAGCAGATCATCTATATATATATATCTGAATCTCGTTCTGAGAATTATCCGATTATATCACCAGATGTAATTTCGGTAGAAGAACTTGGAAATTACCAAGACAATGTAAAATTGTTTTCAATAGAAGCATCCGTTATCTAAGAACAATGATTGGTGCCCACGCGGAAGTAGAAAAACTAAATTTTATGGGAATAAAATATGAATCACATAGTGACGAAATGTTTTGAGATAAGGTTTTTTAATTTTCTTATTCATACTGTGTATAACGTTGTTCGCATATTTAACAGTCAAGATGAAATCTCTAATGTGCTGAAAACTGAAAGTTGTTGATAAAACTAAGTCTTCTCGAATAATTAGAATCTGTACTTTTAATTCAAATTGTTGTACAAGGAATAAGTATTTTATAGATGATAGTTTTTAAATGAAAGTTTCGTTCATTTGATTTAGTTAGAAAATGCCATAATTAATTAAGCGAAAGTATAACATATGATTCTTATGACTTCGACTGAACTTTTTATAGATTCTATGGTGAGCATAAAAATATTGCAATAGCTCTCTTGAAATGTGATTTCAGACTACCAAAGTATTCGAAAGGAAGAACAAAATCGGATGAGTCATTATTTTTTGCCGATAATAAAATCATTTTTGTCACTTCGCACGACGAACGATCTACCTGTTAGCTATTCGACGTCATGTCAACATTGAATATTTGTTTTGACTGCTTTCAGTTCCATAATAGACGCCTCTACATGAGAGTGTGGGTGCGGATTGTTGCAGGCAAGGCAGGGTGTGGGTGTATGAGTCAAGCATTCTACGACGCGTTTCGACTAAGCTTAATAGTCCCATCAGGTAGTTTCGACTTTGTAGTCATCCAAAATGATCCGAAAATCATAGATAGGCTACATAACTAACTATATTTTCAAGGAAATTCAGTAAAAAGACTGAATACCAAGAAGAGTTAATAGGGTGAGGGTGAGTCAAAGCACGCCATTATCGCGATTTCGTCGCTGCTAGAGGACTCATCAGATGGCTTTAGACTACATAAGCTATCGAAATGATCCGAAGATCACAGATAAGCCTACATCATCTGCGTAGTTCGACAGCTAAGGTGCGGCCAATTCGAACTTCGAGCAGGTTCTCAAATTTTTAAAAATTTTATGTATTCTGGTAGAGAAAAGTGTGCTGAATCCAATAGTGACTTTGGTTTTCAAAAAAAAAACTTCCAAACTTTGAAACATGGGGAGCATCAGAAAACACTGAAAAATGGTCCTTTTTAGTGCATAGAGTCTAATTAATTCTTTAGTTCATCACCATGCTCTTTGGAGTTGTTTTTCGGATTCAGCACGAGAAACTACGTATATTCAGGTGTTTTCAAGATTTCGATCTTGTACCATTACTTGTGAGAGAAAATCGATATTTTGTACTATGCATAAATATCAATGGCTTTCAGGAAAAAGACATCTAATTTTTTGTCTTAAGAGCTACAGACTTGGTTCTTGTGCCATTCGAAGCGCCATCTCATAGAGCACAAAAGTATGGTCTCAGATTTTTCATGTTCTTTCTTTCATATAAAAAAATTTCCCCATCTTTCCTAACACCATAATCACGAAAATATGAAGTTTTAAAGATTTCTTCATTTTGCACTGAAATTTCATCAGTATTACAAAGAATAGACGACAAAATATTCTGAACACGACTAAAATAGTTTGAAATAGCATAGCTGAAGTCCTTAGATAGGCAAAGAATCGGAAATTTCATTCTAGTTCAAAGCTTTTCTTGACAATTGATTTTTCGATGGATAAGACACAGAAAAAGCACACAAAATACCGAAAATAAAACACATTTGATTCAACGATGCTTTGCTTTGATTGCTAACAGAAATGGCACAAATAATGAGTCATCGTTGATTTTAGTGTTTGTAGTCTTCCGATGAGACAGAGTATCACTTTGACAAGCAGATGAAAAGAAAAGAGAAAGTATATCTTGATATTCTTTGCCTTCAGCGCAGCCATGAAGACATTTCCAGAAGCGTCGTTGAAGCTTAATATTGACATTCTTTCGTTCGAAATTCTTCCGAGCTTCAGTGATCAAGGAGAGCATTCGTGAAAAGTTTTGTTCGGAGTACTTACGAACAAATTGCTTCATGTGACACCAAACGCCTTCAATACTAGACATTTCTGAATGATACTTCGGAAGGAATATCAACGTCACGCTGTAGTCGTTCGCTAACTTTTCTATCTTCGTTACCTAAGAACAAAAGAAAAAGACAGCTAGAGACGCAAATGTGACACTTGTAATGCAACTTACATTGTTAAATGGCGGATGCTTTAGAAGTTCCACTTTCAGATCTTTCAACAAAATATTAGGAGCAAGGTTCAAGCCTAACTCCTGACTAATAACGAGAAGACCTTTGCTCTTAGTCTCACCCTGAGACGATGGAAAAAAACAATCGATCTTTTTCTTGTTTCCAGCACTATCGAGCCATTGAATTGCATTTACTGGACAACGCGTCCCTGTCCCTCGGCCAAAGTCGTTGATGGTGTATTCACGAGCGGAGTGAGTGGTCGCATTGTCAACCAACAGCTCTACTTGGTGTCCTTCAAATTCCTTCTTGAAAGGAAGCATTTTGAAAAGTCTTTCGAATTGAGAGAGTATCGAGTTGTTGTTGAAGTAGTTGTCTCCATCAAGAGCGATCGAGGCTGACGCTGTCCCAGGAACGTAATCGATGCCGGTGTCTTCGTCTAGGTCGGGATGTTTCCTGACGGCTTCTGCCCATTCTTCATCGCTGAGAAAGAAGAAATGAGACGAAGGATGACAGACGAGAAAATCGCTGTACATGAGCGATCTTCCATGACCTTTCACGAAGAATGGAGCCATGTACTCTACCACCCATCGTTTGCTGGAAATGTCGTTAGACCTTCGCAAGGAAAAAAAGAAAGCTTTCCTGCTGTTTAAACGTGAGAAAACTTGACTCACACAGAAGGATGACTGGTTTCAGAGAGGCAGGAAAAATCCACTTCGGATCTTCACCTTGACTAACGGTATAATAATGAGTTTCGCGACTAAGAAAATAGTCAACGACTTTTTTCCGGTGCTCGACCACATCTTCTCGCTCATGACCAATCCAATAGGGACGAATTTTATTGGCTGAGTAGTGAATGCCCCAACGACGAAGATCAAGACAAATGCTTTGAACTGAGCGAACAAGAACTTGAGTTTCTTTCTTTTCTCCCGTCAAGATATAATACTGCTTGTCGATGTATTGGGCGAGTTCATTTACAGTAAAGCTACTGTCTTTTCGACTGCATCCTTTAACGGCAAACACATCAGCAAGCTCTTCAAGTTCCCGATATAGATCGTACAACGAGGCGCTCTGCTTACCACCACGTCCGTCGGTACAAAACTGATCAATATCTTTGTTCAAAAAGCATTGCGAATGCTTGTGGCAAGTTTCCGCTGTCATTGCGCCGATGTTTTTCAAAAAACAGTCTATATTTCTCCAGGAATAATCAAGATGTCTAAGAGTGACATACATTAATGTACTGAAATACTTTTTGTTAACACTCTCTGCACATAGAGCGAACAAAACAAAAATATTATCTATCATTTCTTTCGGCGTGAAATCGAAACGTTTCCCTTCATCTGAATCGTGCAACTGTTCAGGTTCTCTTTCCGACGCAGAGCCGTCGTTATTTTTCTCAAACAAAGGATTCGGAGAAGGTTTTCGATTTGGATTAATTTTTCGAGAATGAGACGCCGTTTGTTAAACTTCGGCGTTGCAGAATACGAATGACTTACAATTCAAGAAAGAGCGAGAGCATATCAACTGACGAATCATAGACCAATCATAATCGAACTGATAGAGGGCGCACAAAGTTGGCTGCTGAGTGATATTCGAAACTGCGTTATACCATTTGAAACTATTTTCGTCGTGTTCAGAATCTTTTGTCGTCTATTCTTTGTAATACTGATGAAATTTCAGTGTAAAATGAAGAAATCTTTAAAACTTCGTATTTTCGTGATTATGGTGTTAGGAAAGATGGGGAAATTTTTTTATCCCAAAGAAAGAAAATAAAAAATCTGAGACCATACTTTTGTGCTCCATGAGATGGCGCTTCGAATGGCGCAAGAACCAACTCTGTAGCTCTTAAGACAAAAAAGTAGATGTCTTTTTCCTGAAGGCCATTGATATTTATGCATAGTACAAAATATTGATTTTCTCTCACAAGTAACGGTACAAGATCGAAATCTTGAAAACACCTGAATATACGTCGTTTCTCGTGCTGAATCCGAAAAACAACTCCAAAGAGCACGGCGATAAACTAAAGCAGTAATTAGACTCTATGCACTAAAAAGGACCATTTTTCAGTGTTTTCTGATGCTCCTCGTGTTTCAAAGTTTGGAAGTTTTTTTTTTTTGAAAACCAAAGTCACTATTGGATTCAGCACACTTTTCTCTACCAGAATACATAAAAATTTTAAAAATTTGAGAACCTGCTCGAAGTTCGAATTGGCCGCACCTTATGTTTAAGTCAAAAATAAAAAGTGCTGAAATATTGAGTTGCCGGCACCTTACATATTTGGGTGTTTCCATCGGAAATCTCCAGCCATTCCGGAAAATCTTTCAGAATTCGGGGAAACTTTCACAGCTTATAGAACTCTCTTTCCTGATCACTTCGGTAAAAAAAGATTGATTTTTGACTTCATCTTCCCTAAAAAGTATGGAAAATAGTTTTTCGTGCTTTTCTCATTTTTTCGAAAAAATGCATTTTCTGTTGGTACAAAACTTGAAATTGCTCTATAAAAACTCGCTCATAACACACATCCAAGGTAAAATTCTCAATCCTCATGTCAAGGCGCATCAGAACATTATAAAAAAGCGGAGATTCTACTACCTTTAAAGCGTTTATGAAAGTGCAACGTATAACAAACCCTTTTCCACCGTTTCTTGCGTTTCAATGGACGATGTGATAAACGGTTAGATAAGCAAGAAAAAGAAGCGTTTATTAGCATCAGAAAATACTTTATTCAGGGTTCTTCGTAGCGGTTTTCCTATTAATATATTCTTTAAGGGATCATTATACTTTGTACTTCCAAAAACTCCCTGGAACCATTTATGTCACACAACCGGGAGATAATATAATTCTTCAAGAATCAAAATACGAAGGTTATATGATATTAACATATACCAAACGAGTCACTACAAGACCGTATATGAAAGCGTTCATACACATGAGCAACTCTCTAAAAGATTGAATAAAGTCTATATTATAGGGTAGCTTAACAACAAAGATACACCTAGGGATTGATGAACTGGCTAATTGAGAGGTAGACGAGTGGTACACATACTGACCAAGGTAGATGAGTTGGTGTAGGAATAGGGGTGGGCCGTTTAATTTAATTCGAGTTAATTAACGGGTATTAATTAATGAAATCCGTTAACGTTGATATTAGCGTTAAGTAGAATCCGTTAACGTTGATATTAACGTTCAGGAAAAACTGTTAACGTTAATATTAACGGTTAACGGACTTTACTAGATCCGTTAACCGTTATAATCAACGTTATAGGCCGTCATTTAACATTAATATTAATAACAAGTAACGCTCATCCTCTGGATTCGCTGACCCTTTTCTGAAAGAAAAATACATCATTCTTAGTATGACAGAATTTATCTAGCTTTAATCGGACGTTTGATTTTGAAAATGGGCTTGAGATAGAAGTGTAATCAATCAAGATAATAATACAATATGCAAAATGAGCAAAAATAGGAAGATTTTTTTCTTTTATTATACCTCATTATTATACCTCATCAAAAGTGATTTGACATCTGCCAATAGCATCAAAACAGAAAACTAACGAAAATCGATATATTTGAAATGAAAAGGTTAGAAATGTCGAGAAAAGAAATATTGATAATAAACATTCACGGTAAAAGGACGTTGCTTAGTCTCATTCAGAGATGGGCAAGTCATGACTTTTCCAAGTCACAAGTCATAACAAGTCATGCACAAAACTTCTTGGCACAAGTCAAGTCAAGTCACCCGCTTTTCTTCACTCCACGTTGACAAGTCAAGTCAAGTCAAGCATCGAAGTTTTCTTTTGCTCAAGTCACTCAAGTCATTTGACTTGAATTTGCCTGATTCAAGTCAAGCCACAAGTCAGTGGTTATATAAAGAAAAAACCTAATTGAGTAGTTTATTAAGAAGAAATCGACAGAAAATTTTTATTGATTTTCTACATAGTCAACATTTGTAGCATCTTTCTTGACATTTTTCCACGATGTTGTCGAAAGAGAAATCCACTTGTAATGACAAACTTTATTCAAGGTGATTCGACTGATTTTATTTCAACCAAACATTTCCTTTTATATCCGTTCCCTCTGTTCTCTTTTCTTTTGAGCGCATCGGTCGAGAGAGAACAGGGAGAGAAAGAGACGGACAGAGAGAAACACGAAAAGGAGAAAAGAATCATTAGATGAACTGATGAAGATGAACTCGCTATGAGACGAGATGCATAGATATAATGAACAGAAAAGAGAGGATGATAATNATAGATATAATGAACAGAAAAGAGAGGATGATAATATATACATGAGTCATCTATCTGTGTTTGAAAGATTAATTGACGAATACACAAATGTTGTCACACCCCCCGATCCAGATCAGACGCACTCCTGGGCGTCTTTTTTTTTGAATTAGTGGATCAACATTTGGTGTTTTGAGAGGGTGTTCTCGTTGATAACTTCCTACCGAAGGATTGAAAAAGGAGACAAAGAAGAAAACAAACGTGTTAACAAGGATATGTGTTAAAGAAAGTAGAAAAAAAGACACACACATGAGGTGGTTTAGGGAATGTCTTTTTGTTTGCCGGTCGATTGTTCATGTTGCTGGCATATTGATTAATTCTGTTAGTTTTTTCTTTTTCATGCTCCACATTATCCATTTCCGCCATTTCTTTTC